TGACGTACAATGAAAAGACAGTGAAACTGATTGCTCGCGGACTGTACGTCGCAAATTCGCAGTGGGCAAGGTCGCGTGGTTCTCTTTCGCCTGTCTGGAGATTTGCATCTCTCATTTCGCAACGGGCTATTGTTTGTTGGTTGGCACAATTGTGTCACGGTACAGTTATATACGGGGCACAATGATGCAGTGACCTTACGATGGAAACAAGGTCGCGTGACACTGTTATTGTTATTGCAACCTTGCAAATGAAAAACTCAGAAAATTTTGCATTAAAATCTAGATAACGGCGTGCCTTGTCCAGTCCCTAGGCGTTGTGGTCTACTTAAGCGGAATTTGTATAGTTCAAAGACAACGTTAACTAGTAAATGATTAATTTAAACTTCGTTATATTGATTTTTGACTAGAAACCAAAATAATAATTTCCATCCACCAACGATATGGCCCTATCAAACTAGGTGGCGCTAATAGTGATTTAAAAGGCTTTATTGTATTACCCTTCCGATTGTATTATCGTTGTTCTCCTTACCCTACCAATCCTGTAATATTACTACATTCATATATAATATACGAATTTGTAAAGGCCTCCATGAGGCCTACAGTTACAGAAAAAAAAATCCTTTACCCAAACATACGCTTATACTTCACTTCCTCTATCGATTGCGATATAAGTAGAAGTACCAACCTCTGTCTAGCAGCTCCTTGGATTGTGTATTACTATCAGATTGTGTTATTACCTATTAGATACACCTGTGGATTGGCGGACTTTGGATTCTTTTCAAAGAAATTTTTTTTATTGTTATTTCGAAAATATGAAGGTTTCCTCACGATGTTTTCCTTCACCGCCGAGCACGAGATAAGTCAGCACTTAAAAGTAAACAATTTCACTGGTGCTGGTACCGGGGATCGAACTCAGGTTGCTCGAGTAAATGAAATTAAAGGCGAGGACCCAGACACCGTTGATAACAACGCTCAGACTATGCAAAGGGACCTGCATACATGCTGTGATATACTTAACACCTCACATCCCGAGACAGTCGACAGTCGACAGTCGACACCGCGACGAAGACAGTCTCTTACGCTTAGCAAATCTAATCAAGCAGTAACTCTGTCGTTGTGAAATATGAGGAATACGGGAGTGTTATACAAAAGAAAGAAAGAAAGAAAGAAAAAAGAAAGAACGAAAATACATTTATTTAACAAAAAAAACTACGGCTACCTATAAATGTACGCCATGGGCTTGAACCAGCAACCACGCGTCGGGAGGCCACGTTATCTCCTATCTATCGTAAGAGGCAACTCAAATTGCTTGGTCGCTTAGAATTTGGAAAGGGTTATCCTTTCTCGAATCATGCTCATTGATAACAGTACAAAGAGGCAACGACGCGTCCCATAAGTGATCTGGGACACCCCCAACTCTTACGGTTGAGTAAGAGTTGGGGGTGTTCCAGATCACTTATGGGACGCGAGACGAGAGAGGACATCTTTCGAAGATCAACTGAAACGCTCATAAGTACCACTTGTGACTATACTAAATACTTTACACACCGTTTAAAGTATGTTATCTCTTCAGTGGTGGCAATATTGCGTTTTTAGGGTTCCGTACCTCAAAAGGTAGAAAAAGGAAGCCTCATAAGATCATTCTCCTGTCCGTCTGTCTGTTTGTTTCGTCGTCATGTTTATCTTTCGGATTTTTTCCTTTACTTGTGCTGCACGGCCTTGATTTTACCTAAAATTGACAACTCACCTATACCCGAAACCAATAGGGTACTTCCGGTTGACCTACAACCGGAAGTACCCTATAGGTTTCGGGTCGAAAACCTACATGGTAGTCGTTGACCTAAAATCACGAAATTTGGCAAAAACAAGGTCTCAACAGCACAATTAAAGGAAAAATTCATAAAAATAAAAAAAAATGTACGGGTTGGCGCTACAAATGCAATTACATACTAGATAATGTGTACGGAACCCTTCGTCCGACTCGCAATTGGCAGGTTTATATTTAATTTCTATTAATCTTTAAATCCAAATCACAGTTATTATATATTAATACATTTTTATGCTGTATAAATTTTTATAGACGCTATAAATATGAACTTATTTGTGGAAGGGCAAATGCGTTTTAAATATCGTCTCCTTTAGTAGATATGGCACGCTGAAGATGACCTACATCTTTTCTTTTGGGAATACATTCTTTTTCAGTTGAATATACCTTAAATAACGTCACCCTATGCCTAATTAATATTTAATGAAATTTAATGAAAAAGTTATCTGTTTAAACCAGCCAAGGGTAAAATCTTTGTAAATGTTATATTTCAACTTATTTTTTTTTCATTTGCACCCAGCGCCACCTACTGACAATAAGTAGCGTCATAACCTTTTTTGTAATTTCACTGCTTCTGGGCGGTAATTTTAGGTCCTTATTATCAAATACAAATTTTTCTTCTAATAATGGTCACCATTACCACATTCGCTAATTATTTATTTATTTATTTATTTATTTGTTTGAGTATGGTATAAAGATGTTGACAGTCATATTACACGGTTGAATCATATTCAACCATTTCTGGTATACAAAATGCTTAGACATATTCAAGGTTACATTCTATACTTATTTTTAGTTAAGTTTGTCACAATTTACTTCATATATGATAACAAAAATATCCATACAATGTCCTTTTTATTTTTTATTTTTTTATTTTTATTGATTAGGAAAACAAACAGCACTTACATAAAATAAATAGTACAAAATACACACTGATATGTGGGCCAATAAAGTTTTCACCACTAGCTATTTATAAACTACGTCTTGAGAAACTATGTCAAAATTCAATTATTTGTGGGTCAAGTTGCATAAAATTAGACAAATAATATATATAATAATTAAAGGTAATGTTTGGAACTGTATTCAAAATATTCTTGAATTGAATAAAAGCATGTGTTCTTAGCCACTCATACAATTTAATTTTTAAAGATTGTACACGGTAAGTTTATGATTTCCCTTGGCAATTTATTGTACACTTTTATAGGCATTATATAGCAATTTCTGGAAATAAATTTTTTCGTTGTTTTTGGAATTATCAGCCTTTCTCCGAATCGGCTACTATACATTGCGATTTCCTTATGCTCAACAAAGAGGTACCGGTTATTTTTTACAAAAAGGCTTAATTCATATATGTACATCCCAGTTAGAATCAATATACCTAGTTTAGGAAATAGCGTTCTACAGCTTTCTAATGGCCCAACATTACAAATTGCACGTACAAACTTTTTCTGCCCTAAAAATACTTTACTTATTTTTACAGCATTTCCCCAAATTATCAGACCGTATCGTAGAACTGATGATATGTATCCATGGTAAGCAGTTAATGCGGCTTTTTGTGAAATACATTTTGATAGTTTTCGGAGTTTTCGCAAACAAATTCTATATGCTTCTGCCATGTACATTTGTGGTCCAAATTTAATCCTAGGAATGTAATTTCATTAACCTCTTCTATATTTTGACTATTGTAACAAATTTTTAGATCTTCCTTTTTTCCAATAATGCTGAATTGAATTAGTTTGGTTTTATTAATGTTAACTGAAGGGTTATTTTGTTCCAACCAGTGCATTACTACTTCTACAGATTTGGAGATTTCGTTATTATATGTTGTTTTATCATTACATTTGACGATTACTGAAATATCATCGGCATATAAACAACATTTATGATGGAGAGCATTTGGGAGATCATTTATGTAAGTAAGGAAAAACAATGGCCCTAACACACTGCCTTGGGGAACTCCACTCCTTAAACATCGATAGATTGTTTAGATCTTAGGAAGAAGTTATGTAACATATTATTTACCGTTATTTGTTATGTAAGTTTATTAACATAGACCTACTAGATGGCGCTGGTAATGTTTACGCTTTAGTTTATCCTTTTTAAAGATATAAGCAAGTGCATTCAGAGTTATATCACCATTCCCTTAGTCGAATTTTACGATTTAATATCTTTGGATGTCCCCTGTAGGTCTTAATGGCTTGCAATCGGGTGCGTATATTTGAAGCTTAATTTTTATATAGGTACGTTTGACTATAACCAAGCGGGTGAATAATTCAATGGATAAATAGGCCTGGGGGATATTGTGAACTTATATAAGTTGTAAAATTGTGTGAAATTATTAGAAATTATTCTGTCCAAGTGTCAAAGTGTCATAACATTCACGTGTGGTTATTAATGTTAAAGATAATGTTCTATCTTTTTTTATGGAAAAAGGGGGCAAACGAGTTATAGGCTTACCTGTTGGGAAGTGATCACCGCCGCGCGTATATTCATTATTGGCAACACCGGAAGGCTTACCAATGCGTTGCTGGCTTTCATGAAAAAATACGCTGTTTTAAAGTTCACAGTTTGTAACGTTTCGGAAAGAGCTGATTCCACAGAGTGGTTGTGCTAGGAAATCATAACGCATATGATATAGTAATTATGAATACACTTGATAGTTTTATAGCAAAAATTTACAAATACAATGTGATTCAATTTTACAAAACTTTCGTACACCTTTTCTCCCGACAATAGGTTAAATCAACAAGAGAGAGAGATTTGTACGTCATCTAGACTGTTACTTTAATTGATGTTTTTGCTTTCAATCCGTAGATTGTTAAAGCTTAACTTATTTAAGCGTAACTGAAACCCACTTTTTTAAAATTTGTCGACGCATGTGAAAACCCTCGGTTAACGTAAACGTTCGTAAGCCGGACAACTTTATTTTTATGTGAAAAAGTGGCAAACGAGCTGGCGGTTCACCTGATGTTAAGTAATAATCGCCGCCCATGGACATTTGCAACTCCCGTAGCTTGGCTACCTCACTCACCAGACAACTTACTATTACATTACTTTACGCCGGTCTTCTGTGAGGTCGTGGTAGACGGAGCTGCCCATTCCTGCAACAGCGAACACTGTTGCATGGCCCTACCACTGTTAACCCGTTCTCATTTGCACTACCCTTTTCACATCACTTTTCTTCTTCTTCTTCCTGCCTCTTCGAGTTCCACCACTGAACCGCCCGTCTAGCACTCTCCTGGCCCCTTTTATAGTCCGACTTTTCGCCTAAAACGTTCTATAAACGAGTTGTATTTCGTTCGTTTTCGTAATGTAATTTTCTGGAATCAGGTTCCCAATTTTGATCGTCTCTTTAATGGAAAGCTCCAGAATGAGAATTTTCTTTTACCCTAAGCAAATAATTTAAAATTAAACATAATAATTTATTAAAATATGTAGATAAAGTACGAAAAGATTGAAAGATTGAAAATTACGAAAATCTTAACGTCTTTTATCTACATTATTTTTTAACATTTGAAGCAATGCTTAGCTCATCAATATCCTTTCCAGCATACAAACTGTTTTTTTGTGAGATTTTCGTCGGTGTGGCAATCAGCCGTTTAGCTTAGTGGTTAAAGCGTCTGGCTGCGTATGCCGAAGACGTGGATTCGATTCCCATAGCGGCGACAGACAATCTTTTCGTACTTTTTCTACATATTTTAATGTCAATCTTAAGTGCAAAGATTAGCACTATAAACAATTAAAATTTCTATTATAATTTAATTTATAACACGCCAAAACTGGAAAGATGGGGAATTGAGAATCAAGACATACCTAAATGACCCGTAGTAACCTATTACGACCCCTAAATTGAAAGAGGCCCCAAGATCATGAATAACGCTATCCCAATTTGCCCTTAATGCTTTCCGGCTACACGAGATCAACTCTGATGGACCCTAACAGCTCTGAAGTGGACGATTAACCTCTCGACCAGCGAGTTAATAGCAATATTATACATACAATATTACGTATACCATAGCAAAAATGGAAATAACAGATAAACCATACCATACTGCATGTATAAAATTGCCAAGGTAAATATCCCTTTAAGTCATTGATTTGAATATCAGCATTCCTCAAGCTGGACCGTGTAGTAGATAATTCAGCCTAATTACAAATATCGTATTTTTCTTTATGTGAAAAATTGCCAAGCGAGCAGACGGTTCACCTGATGTTAAGTGAATACCGCCGCCCATGGACATCTGCTACATCCGAGGGATAATTGAGCTTCGGCCACCTCACTCACCAGACGAAACGCGAAAGTATTATACTTCCACTTTACGCCGGTCTTCTGTGAAGTCTTGGCACTTACTTTTTTTCTATACCAGATCATTGCTTTCTTTATTTTTTATTTTTTTATTTCTAAAATACATGATTTACCTCCAGGTACTAATATTAGTAAGGATACATAAGAAAGCAAGGAAGTAAGGATTGTATTTGCGAATAGATTAACATTGTTCAAAATTATAATTTAAATTAATTATGGATCAATTTCGACCACTCGGCGTCCACTAGTTATACTAAAAGAGTATTAAAACATATGGAAAAGAGTATGTTCGAAATTGGTCTAGCTTCTCTATATCCTAGTACAAAAATGAATCGTCCGAAAATTCATAACTCCTGGTATTTTAACGGTGATAGAGCCATGCAGCAGCCTCGGCTGTTGCACGAATGGGTAGGCTCGTCCGGGTAAGTACCACGACCTCACAGAAAACCGGCGTAAAGTGGAAGTATGACACATACTTTCGCGTTTCGTCTAATGTGTGAGGTAGCCGGAGCCCCTATTTCCAAAAAGGTTGTCAACGCATCTGCACACCCTCGGGTGTAGCAGATGTCCATGGGCGGCGGTATTCACTTAACATCAGGTGAACCGTCCGCTCGTTTGGCACCTATTCACAAAAAAATGCGAATGTTTTTCTGTAGTTAATGTTAGGACCACTACATATTTGGTAACATCGAAATGTTACTGTCTTTGAAACTGCCAAAACTCACTAAGTTTGAATTATTACAGACAGGAACAAATATTTTGATCCTCTGCCAACGAGGATGGCTTCAATAACTTTACTTAGCAATCGTTGGTTGACCAGTAGTCGACACCACGCATTCACGCATACCATTATTTACGTCTTGCTGTGAATAAACCTTTAAATCTTCCATTAATTAACATTAAATATATTGCAAATTAGCTTATGTTTTATAGGTTTTATTTCTCCCGGTATTGCCGGTAGTGTTAACAGTTTGTTTAGTAAAAGGAAATTATTACTTCTTACCTACTATGTTATTTTAATCAAACGTAATGGTCACATAACACGTAGTCGACAGACGCGGATTTTAAAAACAAATTAAGTGCGATAAAATGTAATAGAATGATCTTCTTACAGATTGTATGATTATTTAGGAAGTGCAAAATTAACACATTCATTGCCAAAATATATTTAAAAAAAAGTAGACCTAAATAGTTTTGGATAAATACGAAAGGTTGGACACCCTAGTTGCAAAGTTCTTATCGAATATTAACCTTAAAAAGTAGTGAACTTGCCAAAAGCTTAAGTGAGGTCGTTGAACCTCAGCGTAATCGCATAGAGGGTTGGAGTGGACAACTTCTCATAATATTAAAAGTGTTTTATGACGTTTTTATTATTTTATTTGGTTATATTTTTTTATAATAAAAGTAATTTACTTCTTAACAAACATTTTTAATCGATAGATAAACATATCCGACATTTTAATAACGAAAAAAAAATATTAAATGCCATATTTTGGAAGTGTATTGTTTAACGTGATGGCACTACTATTCCATAGTCGGTAACGGATAAAACCGCCGTTTTATGACAGGATACTGTCACTGTACTGACTACAACCAATATGCTAAATATAACGAATTCAAATCGAGTTTCGAAATAGATATCTTAAAAATTTCAAAGTTTTATATATAAATTGTGTGAAATTTATTAGTGAACGGTTAGTTTTGTCAGATTATTTTTTTTTACATGTCTAAGTCCCTAAGGCCTGGGTCGACTGAATTGACTTCTCAATATTGGCTAATAAAATAATTTTGAAGTTTCATGAACACAATTCATAACAGATTACATAAATACAAAGTATTATATTTTTATTACATAAGCAAATGAAAGTATCGGTATTATTTTAAAATATACGACAAATATTTCGCTTAAAATAAATTATTAATATAAGCCGTGACTTATTGAATGTCGTTTGGGGTAGGCAGAGACAGTCAGCCTAATCTACTTTTCATCAAGCTTAAGAAATCCTAAAAGTTGATACTTTTAGGACTTCTTAAGCTTGTCCACCGCCTCTAACCAACTTGAAATGGACATTAGTGTAAATTACATCAAGCCATAAGAAATTAGATCTATAGTATGTTTGAAATTCTAATCTCTGACATCAGAAGAACGAACGCCGAACCACTATGCTGTCACCACCATTTCCGTCCAATTGAATTTTATGTTGTAAACTGAAAACTAGGATGGGCCCCATGGGTTTTCGTGTAAGTATTTATCTGTCTTTGCTTTTATTTATTTATTTGTTTTTGAAAACATTGGCCTTACTGTAGGATAACGTTATAAGAACGTTTTACATTCGATTGACAAACGCCCAGAACCGAAACAATTATCTGTGGTCAAATAAATAGATATCCAGTGTGGGAATCAAACCCACGACCCCCATCACCGAAGCCCGTACCCTGGCAACTGTGCCACAGAGTCATCGATAATACAATAAAAGATTTGTTTAATGAACATTTATATAGGTAAGAAAGTTTAAAATAAAAATAATTTAAATGTTTCTTATAGCCCGTAATATTTCATCGCTAGCAATCACCCGCGGTTTCGACTGTTTGTGACTAATTTTAAAATAACCTTACATGCACAAATATTAAGTGAATCGCAAGTATCTGTGAATTAATTTTAACAAATTCAGTGTTAAACACAAATATTTTCGTCAGAAATTATCGCTCTTTGTCATTCGGCCCTCATGCCCTTAATATACGCTAAGTGAAAAGTAAATTAATAAAAATGAAAACAAACGTGAGACTTGAACGTGGCTATCCTATCTTCCGAACTAAATATAGATTACGTAGTGAGGCCGCCACGCGAACGGTCAGCCGATGCGTGCGCCCCAGACTGTGGTATCGATCCCACCACCTGCCGTCCACCACTCCCTCGCTCCACTTCTTGCTTCCAGTCGGCCGTCGCCCCGCGTCACGGAACCACTCAGACGCGAACTAGCCGTAATCTTAAAACAATATAAAAAAATTTAAAAAAAAACTATAGGTTATAAATAAAACATAGAAACGTCAAATTTGGCGCGCTTTTCGATCCGTGACGCGTCGAACGTATCGGGGATAATCCCTTCGCGCGTGCAGTACGGCGGTGTCGCGTGAGATTTTTATCGCAGTGCTTCGTACATAAACACCGTTTACACGACGCCGAAAGCAGCGGCCAACACCTATCAGTAATTACAGCGCTGAGACGATTCAGCATGACCCGGTTCTCGGATCGCGGGAATTATCTCAATTTACGGCGTTCAATTTCGTAATTGCTACGTTTATGAAATAATACACCGAAGCAATTCTGCCATAGTACCATAATAGCTCTAATTGATGACGTAACTTGTGCGTTTTTAAATTAGACCGCGTCGTACTTACTGGGAGATGCTTTCACTGCAACTATCCGACAATAGGACGCGAAAAGGAAGCCATTATCAGCCGTCAATCAGATGCAAATCATCAACGCCACTTATCTAGGCCCCTTTGGATAGAGGGGAATAGAGAGTTATGTCTATCTCGCTTGGCATACTAACCCGATCGAGCGTGTTATAGCGTTTTTCCCGGCGCTCAGTGCGTCAGCTGATTGTGCGATAACGGAGCGCGTCTCGTCTCGCCGTCGCTGCGAAAAGTGCGATCTGCAGTGCACACCATCCATATGCAAACTGTGCGGTAACTGGTGACTCAGTGAGCGGCAAAGCGCGCGGACGTTGCATATCGGCCGGCGACCGCGTTTTTCCCCAAACGCGTCCATTTCGGCGACAAGACGCCGCGCCGACGAGGCGTCGGACGCCGAGTTCCTTTTTCGAATTTCGACCAGTTGTTCTCTTTTTCGATATCTCGCGGCGCGAAAGGTTTTTTTTTTTTAATTATCGACGAACATCCGACGAAGCGAACGCTGGTGGGCGATACGAACTGTCAAGTGCGAGTGAAATGGTGTCGTGATTGAAAAACCTCCTCCCTCTCTCTCTTTCTTACAATGGAAAGAAGCGTTTTGGCGAGCACGGCGCACGTACACTGGGCATCTGAGGTGAGTATTACTCCGACACTAACGATCGTTCCCGACTCTGTCCGCATCTAATGTTTATTATTTAAAACGCACAGGCAATACGTTGATTATATTTGCAAATTATTAATCGAATACATAATATTGAGCGATTTGCGAATTAATTTGCGCGCACCATGAAAATGTTATAATCGCATCAGACAGTACTTATTATATCGATTTTGCTGTACGTTGACCCCTGACCTTCTTTACGGAAGCCGTTCACGAATTTACTAGTAGCCGGCGTAAATAAACCATTAAGATTCAGTTCAACCTCTTTAGTGTAGTTTATTGACCCCGGTTGTTTATAATGGAGGCTATTTCATGGCGTATTTCGCGAACAATTTTCCACGCGGTGGAAAAATGCGGCGTCACTAAGCCGAAGCGAGATCCGCGCAGGAATATTGCGCAGATTTTTAAACGTGAAACACGCAGATTTTTTTTTTATTATTATTTTTTAATTAAATTTAACTTTAAATCTGGCTTTTTACTTTTACACCGAGGTCAAGCTTTAGTAAAGATTTCTCGTGTGGACGCGAATTCGTTGAAATTATTTATCGGGAAATCCGTCACCAAGGAATATTAGTAGTTAAACTACAAATATTTAAATCTAAAATTGATATATCAAGACGAGCGAAGGGGGTTATAGAATAATACATAGACGCTTAATGCATCATCTCAGTAGAGACTATATATAATACTATGTATAGTATAAAAAAAATCGTACCGCTGTCTGTTAGATCTTTAAAACTACGCAACTTGATCCGTTTTTTTTATTAGATAGTATTTCAAGAGGAAGGTTTATATGTATAATACATTGCACCCGTGCGAAGCCGGGGCGGGTCGCTAGTTATAGCTAAGCTTATAGCTAATTCACAGGCGGAGCTTGCTTAGTGATAATTACGCAGCCAATTTGCGACACTCGTAATGGCGTTAGGTGTGGCGTCCGGCCCCAATTTCATTGTTTTTTTTTATTACTAACTGGCCACTGCCATTTTGGGCATTACCACTGTTTCGGTGACATCGCACTTTGGAACAAAAGCGTGCGGTAACATCCCATATTTGTCCCAATGCTGGGCAAAGGCCTCGTCTGCACAGGGGGTAGCTATGGTATAGTCTAACACGCGGGCCCACTGCGGATTAGAGGAATTCGCGTCTTCGTCTTATTTTTGTCATTTTGAAAATATGCAGGTTTCCTCCAAACTGTTCCCTTCGCCGCTGAGCGCTTGATAACGTCAGCACGAAAATTTTCCATTAACAATTTCATCGGTGCTGCACCGAGACTTGAACTCGGGTAGCTTATGTTGAATTAAAAGCGAGCTCCCGGACAATGAAAGCGTGTGGGTATCTGTGAAATCTTCTCGTATTTTCTTATAGTAGATCGGTTAGTGTTCGAATACAAACCCAATGATGCTATATATAAATACGAGATAGATACTAGCAAAAAAAACTGATGCGCTAGTGTTATATCTACCTCTAAATTACGGTAGGTGTAATTAGATTGCAATTCTATAGCCTGCTATCTCTTTCCGTATCACACGTTCTATGTCATCTGTCAAATTCATTTATATACGTCAAATAATGTAAAGCCGAACGATTTCTAAACGCCGCTCAGTATGAACATGCACCACCTTTGTTGAAACATCATTGTACAAATCTTCCTAATTGTAAGTTGTGTGGTCGTTATGATTAACTCTTGACTTGAAAACCCCTGGAATAAAACCCCGGCTTGAAAACGCCTATAAATAAGAGAAGTATCAGCCTGTATTATTATATATACTGATGGTATATTGAACACTAGCTTATCGCCCGCGGCTTCCCTCGCGTTGAAATAAAAATGTTTCAACCCTTTACAACACTTTTTTCCAATAAAAAATATGTGCCTATGTCCTTTCTCAGGCTCTAGACTATCTGTGTACCAAATTTCATTAAAATTGGTTCAGTACTTTGGAGTTAAAGCGAGACAGACAGACAGAGTTGCTTTCACATTTATAATATCAGTATGGATTTTTTACTATAGTTAAAAGTAAATAGTTAAGTTGTTGTATTGTCAAACAAATTTTCTGAAATATCGCAGCTTAAAATTTTCTCAAAAGCCGTCCAGCCGTTGCGTATAGAAGACGGAAACACAAAAAGAACATTACGACTTTATAAAATTACGAACCATATCTATGACACGCCTTCGCCGCCGAGGCCAGCTAAATACAGCGAGAAAATATTCATACCTGTGAAACAATCATTTATTAAAAACATAATGCAGAGTATTTTACCCAGGATACGACGAGCATAGGTAAGACTACATTTGTTTACCATGAATCTGGATTTGAAACGTGCGCTTCTTATTGTAACGGGAAAATTTTACAATTTAACAAAGCAAAGCTGTAACAAAATACGTAAATATTGTTTATGGCCTAAACAAATTCACTCGCTGGCCCCAAACTAACAGAAGCTAAGTCTAAATGTCATTACGAAAGAACAATTCTCGCGACAAAATGGCGGACAGCGCAATTGCCGCTAAAAAATTCCTTTTTATGACAACGCAATTCGCAGCTGCGGGACGTGCTTATTCGAAAAGACCGGCGACCTCGGCAGGTGATTGGAACTTTATTCGATAGTAAGCCTTATACTGCCGTCTTACGGTTCGGAATGGAGGAATACGTAACGACAATTATAAACATTCATCGTTGGGCCTACAGATCCCGTGCATTTCGTCTAGTTCAGCTTGTCTCCCAATTTATAACGTTCGACAAAACTCGAAAACGGTCAAGGAGATTTTAGCACGCTTTCATTAGTTTCAACTGTATGTTACTTTGTTGTAAAAACTACATATTTATGTGATAAGGAACCCAATGTGTCAAATTCACACTTCTCATGGCGCGTTTGGAAAAAAATACGAGAGTAAATTTTACTTTCTCACGATGTTTTCCTTCACCGCGAAGCACGTGATAAGTCAGCACTTAAAGTTAAAAACTTCATTGGTGCCGACACCGGGGATCGAACTCAGGTTACTAGAGTATATTGAATTAAAGTCGAGCGCCCGGACACTGAGCTATCACGGCTATGGTGAAGTACTAGGTTGGAAAATGACAAGCTTCTACCAACTTCACGGTATTAACACGGCAACCAATAACAATAATGATTTTTTGACATTTAAATATAATTCCAAGTTATTTAATTAAACCGTTACCAATTGCATCTAATGTCTGTTTCACAAACAAAGACTACTGGTGGAGGGGATAGTGTAAGAAATTTTTAAAATAATTTTAGTTAATACATTTCTTTTTTACGCTAAATAAATATAACTTTTTACATGCATACCAAAGTACAGACAAAATCCATTGTACATTGTCACACTTGTACGATTTGATTACAGCCACCCATAGACATCTTAACATCAGTGGGGCCACCAACCGATGCTTAGATGTCTAAAAGAGTGGACCACGATTATCTCACTTAATATATGAAACGCAAAAGTTAACGACCCGAGTGGCGTAGTGGGCCCGAGGGTGTGGGTGGCCCCACTACTGGAAAAATATTATGTGATGAACATAGTGTTTTTCTAGTGTCTGGATGTTTATATATAATATGTATTTATTTAAAAAAAGAAAAGTATGTTTAAGTATGTCTATCAGTTATCTAGTACCCATAGTACAAGCGTTGCTTAGTTTGGGACTAGAGAACGTTGTGTAAAAATGTGTCCTAAAATATTTATGATTTAAAAGTATAATGTTTTCGCTTCATAAAAGTCCTCTACTCTAACTCTCCGAATGAGTGCAACTGCAAAAGCTACTGCGTGGACTGCGTGGAAAAATAATCCTCAATATTTATTCTGAAATAAATACCTCCATACTAAAATAACTAAATAAATTCAGCTTTAAATAACGTAGGTATTATAAAAGTTATCCAAAAAGTGGCGATAGCTAGGAAGGGTAATTTTAAATAACATCTCTATGATAAATACCGCATTAGCTGTGTGGTATGCGGTACGAAGTTACTTAGGTCCTGGATCAAAGTTCATATACAGCGTGTCGTTACAATCGCGACAATAAATGAACACACGTCTAACGCTACTTGCCAATAATCATAAAAAATATTAACGTTAAAAACAATCCATAATTAAAAATAAATATTTTTCAAACAAACTAATTAAGAAAAAAGAAACAAAATTTGTAACATCCTATACAACTACAACTGACTGATTCATTCATTCATTCAGAGACTTTTTCATTCGTTGCCACAGTGTCGAATTACAAGCCTCTCCTTCTAACAGTATGTTTTGTCTCTTTTAAATTCATTCAACCGATTCCTATGCTTTGTGATCTTTACAAATGAACTTTACGTTACAGTTTTATACGTAAGGATGTTCTAAAATTGTTTGTTTTGGAAAATTTTATAACTCGGTAAATATTGATGTTTAAAGAACGTAAATGTTTAATAAAATTTAAAAAAGTTATCCTCTATATGTGTGTTCATTTACTGTCGCGATTGTAAAGACACGCTGTATAATGCAATTTTGAATTAATATCATTATTATTATTATTTGAAATGAAAACTATGCTAACAACCAAAAGTAAGCACGTAATATATTTGTTTGGCTCATTTTATGCAAAAGACAATATAAAGTGGATGACGGAAAATTTTATAATGAAAATGAAACATTTATTTTAACCGATAAATCTTTTTGTTTTATCGCATCATAAATTTCATTTCATTATATCCAATTACTAAAGTGTTTGTAACATTCCAATATTTTTGAAAATCCTCATTAATGTTATTAGAAAAAAAATTACTTATGCCATTAAGCCTAACGAAAACAAAACTAAGTACTGTAAACAAAACTTTAATGGTAAAATGTTACTTCTAGGTCTCTGTAGTATACGCACACAAAAATACGAAAGGTGCCATAAAATAGAAATATTCTGATAAGAGACGACAGAGTATATCACTTTCACTACATAGTATAAAACAAAGTCTGTCTGTCTGTC